AAGGAGATACAGACAGATTCTCCGTCAAACAGTATCCCAGCCAGTGACGAGACCCAAACCACAGACCTCGTTCGCAGCGAATGTTCCAACGAATTGGTTAGTCTCTCGTGCTTTGATGTTTCTTTTTAACACGGGTTCTTGTTGTTGCATGTTCATTGTTCTGTTGATTTTAAGAATGAAAACCGTGCCTTATTTTGACAGGGTGGCAGAGATTGAAGTGACTCTGTGTTCGATAAACTGATGGTCCGCTCCCCCCCCCCCCACATACACACTAAATATTATTCATGTCGGAAAGTCATCACAAGACCTGATTAATCTGAAGACAAACGGACTCAGTTCGGGCCAACGGGATAAGCTGTCTGTACAGACGCACTTTCTCACTCATTGCCAATTAAAGCGTACCACCCTCTCGGTATTAGAAAGTGACTCATTTTTTATACCTAACAGTTACATGTCAGTAGTGTTATGGGATCTGTGATGTTAGTTTGAACTGATCATCATCTAAATTGTATACTCGTGCACAATCTTCATTTCATCGAGTCAGCTGTACACTAAGGAAGAGCTGGACTAGGGTTTTCTTCTGATTGGAGCTCACATTGGTGAGTTTATCTTTCGTTACGTTCGGGATTTGAACTCCAGTCCCATCGCATGGAAGGCGTGTGACTTACTGTTATGTCAATTTGCTGACACTATGGCCAACCGGAACTACTGATTCAAGTTTGTCCGGACGTCGTAACCAATGATAGTCAGTTGGTCAATTGGTTCCCATCAGTAGCGAAAGGAAGCAGTTGGCTATTTGTTAACTTGATTCAAACACCTCCTGACCAATAAGGACTTACATGTTGTTTCTACAGTTTTGCCTCCTACCTACTAGACAAGAATCAAATTCGCACTTAACTCAGTTATTTGTGGGTATTCTAGAACCTCCTGAGTCTGCGGCTAACTGGATGAACTGAGGGTCGTACGTGAAGATGAAGTATGAAGATTTATCACTCTAAATACGTGACACCTTTGGTTTTCTGATTGACTGTGTTCTTTAATTGGAGATAAACAATTCGAATTCGATATACTTCGGGAGTGATCACGTGTCCGGCGGTGGGAGCTTCAGTGCTTCCACTACTGCTTTGAGCACATAAGTGTGTGTGTGTGTGGTGTGTGTGAAAACGGATGCTGACCACCTCCGCGGTGGCGAGAATATAAAATCGCAAGTAACTAGACCTTCCCGTTTTTTCCGTCTTTCTCATCAGCCTTCTTGGAAAGGAACTTCGGAATCAGCTTAGCCGAGCGATAGAGCCATTGAGCGATATGGCCGATTATATAGTTATCAGTGGTGCAATTTTAGTTGACGTGAGTTCTCTGTTTTCACCTTGGCTCTGCTTTCAACATTCCAATCTTATTTCTTCATCTTCATCATACTGGATAGCCCAAAGACTGCAAGCAAAACCGCCACATGAAAGTACGTGGTTAATCAGAAGACAAACAATATAGCAAACAATCTTATTTCCGTAACTTCGTTTTCGGGCATTTATAGTCATGTATGTTTATGTATAAGGTAGAAATAAACGAAATTAATTCATCAAGTAAAATGAGTGTACAATAATATCTGTCAATTTCTACAGAAGTATATAGAGAAAGGGTGACAGGAAAGAAGGTCAATTCCAGAAAGTTCCGATGGCCGTTTTTCACGTGCAACCTGTCACGCTATGATACGTCATCACGTCATGTTGCGTTTCATCACGGCTTTTGTCGAACCGAAGACCTAATCATGCCTGGAAGGTCGAAGGGTAGAGGTCAGACGAAGTCCAGTCTTCTGGTCCTCCAGGTTGGGGGTTCCACTATAATTTGCATTTCATTCAGTAAAAAATAGTGGAAGAGTAACTGACTCAAGTAAATGGGCCTCCATTTCGCTTCACTGCTGCTTTGCGGTTAGGTTCTTGTCAGAACTAAAGGCGTTGGTTGAGAACTCCAATCTTTCTCCTGCTTAGTGGTTGGACACCATAGCAGTACCCGTTCATAAAACCCGAACGCATATGTATTGCGAGTTTGGCAGCGATCAGTGAAGTTCTCTTCTCTGTATTTCGCTGATGATGATGACGATGATGATGAGGGTAACTAGGGTGAGACAACCACTTTCTTCTGTTTACACAATGGCGGGTTCAGGATTTTGATTGCCCGGTGACATTGCCGAACGTACTTGGACTTGTTTTGGGTCACGCCGAAGATGACCTTGAAAGCACTGTTGTCATTCTGGTGCCCAGTATCGGCGAGTTAGGCCACAATCGCACTGATTATTGTTTTCTCGCATTCCGTGCTCACCTCTGCTCAGTCGGTCTGTGTTCTCCGATCCTTTCGGAAACATAACTCATCTTTTGTCCTACATAGCTTGGCGAACATGTGCAAGTGAAAGAATATGTAAGCACGGATGAGGATAAAGTGGGCAGCATATCCCTGAAGTTTGTGCATGGTAATTGGTTGTTCAAATTAAAACTGGACCTGTGCTCAAAAGCACTAAGACTTCAGTTGTGGGACTGCTGACAAGCTACTCATTCCGAAACATCCAATCCAACGTTAAATGACACTCGAAGAAACGACACGTTCAAAGTGAGGAACAACGATGATCCAAGATTTTGAGTATTTACGTTACTCTTCGATTTCTTTCGCAAATTGGTCGTAAATATTGCGTTGTACTAGCCTTTTTATGAAGTACTCAAAACGAGCTTATCTTTGCCACTTTGTGTTCTCATCATATGTTTTTGGGACGCCCTGAATTTCGTCAGTTTCTCTGTGCCATTACCTGTATATGCGAGCGAAAAGGTTCGTCGACGCCATGCAACAACCACAGCCGCAAACTAACCTAATATCAGACATATTGTAATCTGAATGGACAAACATTATTATCTGGAGTATCAAGCTTGGATTAGCCCATTTGATTGTTCAGAGGCGCCAGGCACTCTTGGGTGCGGGTTTCACTCCTTGGGAGATCATTAATTCCCCGCTGTTTGTATGCATTTTTTTAAATACGATGGATACGTTGTATAAGTTAGTACGGAAATCAACGCGTTCTCAGATCCATCAATAACAATCAAGCTGGTCGTATCGCATTCATCGCTAGTCCGATTCTACTGAATTCAGTCTTTTAAATCTCTTCGATAACGATTTTTCAACAGGATCGATTTTGACGGTTCAAATGTGCCCGTTATTGGGAACTCCTTTTAAGAAGAGAGAAAATTCAATGAAGGCGCTTTTTCTAGGTCAAAGTCAATGAGTGAATAAATCGGGACAGCTGTGGCAGATTTAAAACTTCAAAATGATATGATACATGTACTTGGAAATATGCAGATTAAATTTCATTTCCATATTCTTGTATAAACTTAGCTCCATTTTAAGAAATAAAAGGGTCTGCTTTTTACAGTTTCACAACCAGAAAACTCTTCTGTGCTTAGTCAATCGTGTATAGCTTATACCATTTGTATAACCGTTTGTTAAACTGCATGTTGTACGTCTCCCCCAGTACCTTAGAATGAATATCCTCGGTTAAAGCCTCTTCGGATTTCCAATGTAGTGTTTACCTAAAATGATATTAGGACCTGTTGGGTCCCATGCTTTGGTCTCCTATCGCTGTGCTTCTTGAACAGTGCCATATCACAAGTTTCGCTGTTCGACTGGAGCAGTTTTTAGGGTCACTCAGTGAGGTACTGGATCACCCAGCTGATGTGCAACACTTATTGCGACCGGTTGACTGGGAGAGAACCGGTAAAATTCTCTCTCTCCCTCATTCTTGATATCGCATCACTAACGAGCAGCAAAGTTGCCGTTCATTCTAGCTGCTCTTGATCGTATATTTGGGGCGGTTCTGGTTGCACCATCAAAGGAATGAACTTTTGTTTTGAATAAATATATATATACTGTCACACGTATCGTACGATGGTGCGACTGACGTAACGTGCGTTACTCGTGTCGAATGTGAACTGCACCCAGTCGGGTACAATTTTTTCACCCCTCTCCCCATATCTCAGCCAACGAACCAAGTAGAATCATCTGTCCCGGGGTGTACAATCAACACAACTTCCGTCCACGAAGATAGTTCTTCCAGAGACATGACTAAACTTGACCCGGTCCTACGAGATCTACAATCGGCAGTAAGTATGAATAACCACTAAGTGAGGATTATATTCACACATAGAAAATAGTTTTCATTGACCCGATCCAAAGCATGCTTTACATGATTGCACAAACTTTGTTCACACTTCTGCGGCTTCTTGTTGATGTGAAGGCATCCATCAGTAACATTTTTATCAGTCTAGTTTTCTGCTAATAACTATGCCCAGTTGTAAAATCATTTTGTTCTATGATTAGCCCTTTTGGTAAACTCATGGTGAAACTTCAGATAGCATAGTTTTGTATCTATTCCTCACCTACGTTCCAATTCTTAATGGTCAATGCAGATCACTGCGGGATCGAATGTGATGGGAACAATATTGGTCTCAAACGTGTGTGGGGGAGGGGTATGTGTAAGTTAAACTGGTTGGAGGCGTTCACAACCCCTGGATGCAGCGCATGGCCCTACCAACCCGATAGTGATTTTTCAAGCAAGCCATTTACATGCCTAAAAAGGGTATTTCTACAGTTACACGTCTGAGTCATAATAACTGCGCTCGTGAAATAACAGTCACACCAGTGTTCAAACGCATCGCTAACGAATCACTGGCTTTAGAAAACATTTCAGTAAATTGCAGGCCGATAAATGAACAGACTAGAATGAGCAGGTGTGAAGAGGAGAGCGAAAAGGAAACCGAACAATTGACCAGAACGATGCGGGATACAGCAAAGCAAAACCAAACCGGACATGACCGAAGTGGAGAGAAATGTAAATGGGCGGTAAAAAACAGATATATTGTAAAGATCATATAGGGCAGATGCATTTCGGAGTATCAGGTTTCGATTAGCCCATCCGATTGTTCAGACAGGTAACCAAAAAGTACCCACTGCTGACGAGTACCAAACAGGACAAAACAGCTGTTCAGTGCCTTGTCGGTCATCACAAATATCTCCATCACAATCAGTTGCATTTAAGTTGCCTGATCCTTAACCTGGTTGTTCAGAGGCAAGGAAGAGTAAGAAGTAGCGGATGGAAAAGGAAGCTCCTCTAAACCAGTTCTGATCTGTTATCAGATC